AATAACTATACAAGGTGTTGCTACAAGTTTTGAACATTAATATTTACAATGAAAAGTCTTATTAATTCTGCTTAAAATCTGATAGCAGATTCCAATAGAATCTTTGGGGGTTCCAGGGTTTACAAAACATTATCAATGTGCTGAATATGAGGTACTAATTAATATTTTTGGGATTGAGGTCTTCAACTTTTCACATCTGGAACACTTGGAAGTTTCTTCTCCATATGCTGGACAGCCTTAACAAATTATTAGAGGGTCGAATATACACGCTCTACAGAGGCATGATTTATTGTAGGGTTGTTATTTGGGATTGAATACGTTTGAGCAGGTCCAGCTAATAAACTCGAAACACAGTGACAGCGTACATAACCAGAGATACTGAAGCTTGTGCTACTTAGCATGCTAGCTGTCACTGTCAACAACAACAAGTGTTATTCTCACACAGACACGCAACGTTTCAAGGAGATAATGCACAGAGGTCAAAAGCATATTTTACGAAACATACTGAGATAATAACGCGACTACATGTAGTTTTTGTTTTTAAGCAATGTGGACAAGAGAAGGAGCTAAAAGTAGCATGAACCTTGCAATGAGGGCTCCTTTTTGCAGGCTAACAGCGTTAGCTTAGAGAACTACTCAAGGGCACGGGCAGTGCAGTGTTGTCAGAGGGTAACTAAGGGTAATCAGGTCAAACACATAATTTCCCACTGGTCTTGCAATTAAATAACATAAAGATTTAAACGTGCGTAAGTGCATTATGTGTTTCTCGTTCTTACCTTTCGCTATTTGGCCTTCTTGACCAGAACAGCGGTGATGCGAGTTTTACAACCAGTCAAATAGCTATGGCGCTGTTAGCGGAAATAGCGTACTGTCCTACTTCCGTTTGAAATGAGACCCCAGGTTTCACAATAAAAGTAACACCTTCACACAAAAAATAAACAAAAAGGTGACCTGAATTAGTATTTAATTTAATAAGCATAATATACAGTTAGCATAAATCTGTCCAAAATTTCTTTTAAGGGAGAAATTCACTTATTTAACTTTATTACTAATATTGTATTTGTGCATGTGCGTGTTACTGCAGTTTATTACAAATATCAATAAAAATGTGTGTAGAGCTGTGTAGAGTGTAAAATTTCCTTAAAAATATTTTTGAGGAATATGAATTTGACAGTAACATCCCATATTGTTTACCTGTTGATCTACCAATTTTGTTAATTCGTTTTCACAACATAGATAGGTTCGGCTTTCACCTTCAACTACATTTCCCACAATGAACCAGGCGTTTACCGGAACTAGCTACGTGTTCGTTTTCGCGACGGTTCAGGAAACGTCTATAAACAGCTACAGAAACGAGCAAGAGTTGGTGCTTTCTCCTGTGAAGGAGTACAGCAGAACAGGTAAATATTCTCCAGAACCAAGAAATGCAGTTGTTTATCAGCCGCTAAACAGTCACTGCTGAGTTTATGCCAGTTGTGTTACAAATGAGACTAACCAGGCCTTCTCATGTTATTAAACTAGTTAGCAACAAGCTAAATGTGGTTGCTAGCGTCCACTTAACTTAAATAAATTAAATATATCAGTGTTTTTCGTGGATGAAACTGATACTGCTCAATAGTTAACCGATGTTATTGGTTTTTATAATAACGATTTTGCATACTTTTGAGGTTTTGGGTGTAGCTCAGTTAATGTATAGTTGTAGTGTAGGCTTGCAGTAGCACCCTCTGTTTCATTGTCATCATGTGTCTTGTCATTGTTGACTGATCAGTTATAGATGTATTATACATTTAAAAAGGTATATTTTAAATTTGGGAACCACAGGATCAATATTTCTTGTTGTAAATATGTAAGAACTAAGCTTTAGTACTGCTTGGCGTTAGCAGGACATGATTGGTCCAGTTAAACAATTACAAAAAACATTATGTAGCTATGTCAGCTCACCAAGTATGTTATTCCCGTTATGCTGGGTTTATTCCTAATTTTATAAAATACTCAAATGGAACATAGTAGATACCTTATTTAAGAACTGACAAATTGTAGCCAAGATCCAGCAATGATAATTGTTTTGCTGCTCCTGAATGTTAGAAATACAGCACTATATTTACTGTGATTTTATATTTGTCACTGTAAAACTTAGGTTGCTCCTCCTCTACAGAGAAATCTTAGACCTAGATAACCTTCAGAATAAAACAAAACACCAGAGAGAAATCAGAACTTTACAAATCTAATAAATCAGACTGCATATGTCGCTCAAGTCCGCCATCTGACATAGTCTCAAAGCTTAATCTACCTGTTTTTCTTCTCCTCTACCCTCCATCCTTTCCCCCTCCCCATTCCATGTGCACTTGAAATCTAATTTTCAGCACCATGTTGCCGACCACCTCGCCGCACAGCAACGGTGCCCTTGGCTCCAGGGACGCTGCACGCCACACGGCGGGTGCCAAACGCTACAAGTACCTGCGGCGGCTGCTGCATTTCAGACAGATGGACTTTGAGTTTGCCCTGTGGCAGATGCTTTACTTATTCACATCACCACAGAGGGTCTACCGCAACTTCCACTATAGGAAACAGACCAAAGACCAGTGGGCCAGGGATGATCCTGCTTTCCTGGTCGTGCTCAGCATCTGGCTGTGTGGTGAGTCTGTGCTCATCTGACGGTGCCAATATAAACAAGTCTTGGTAATAATATCTGTCTATTCATTTCCACACCTATTTGTTTTCCCTGTTGGATTATATTTAAAGAAACACTGGTGCATTGCGGTTCATTTGAATTGGTCTTAATGCTGCCAGTTGAATACTGATGTTGTCTCTGATAAGTAAACACTGCCTGTATTCATCTGCAGTGTCAACAATAGGCTTTGGTCTGGTGCTGGACATGGGTGTCCTGGAGACTCTGAAACTGCTGCTGTGGGTGGTCTTTGTGGACTGCATAGGAGTCGGTCTGTTCATATCGACACTCATGTGGTGAGTCGCAAGTTCGTCTAGATTACTGTATGAAATGAAAGGAGTTGGAAGAAGTAATTGTTAATTTTCTTTTTGCCTTTTCCAGGGTTATCAGCAACAAGTACCTGCTAAAGCATCCCAGCAAAAATTTTGATGTTGAATGGGGCTACGCATTTGATGTTCATCTCAATGCTTTCTACCCACTTCTAGTCATCCTGCATTTTCTGCAGCTCTTCTTCATCAACCGTGAGTAAATTGTGTCTCTGTGAGTTTTTTGAGTATGTCTGAAAGTACATGGTCCAATTTAGTTTTAAATGCAAATTTAAAAGTCTTGAAACCCATTCTTCGTCCGCTGTTGACTTTGTTTTCTATATTTTTTTATTTTGTATTATGAATAATTTGTAACAATATAGTTGATCATTAAACAGGTAATTCCCACTAATGAAGACACGCAAAAAACTAACAGATGTGTTCTCTGCAATGACTTGTGTTACAGTTTGTATTTGGACAGTCAGTTGTATGCATAGTTAACTTAAGCCTGTTCCATCTGGCGATAGACAAAAACAACACCTCTAACAAAGCCTTAGAAAGTGGAGTGTATCCGTCACATTGTGATGAACCAACACCAACAGAGTCTTGTGACATCACTTTTAAGCTTATAGATGCTTTTCACTTCATTTTGAATTTTTCTCATTTGCTCTCGTGAATGATTCAACCTTCTTTGATATCAGTGTATTATTAAGCTGATAAACCAGTTTTAGACCATACAAAAATATCTATCCCAAAAAAGTCTAAGAGGACACTGTCTTAAGTTTAGTTAATCAGCTATAAAATTGATACTCACAGTAATCCAGTGTGGCTTAATTTAGTGACCCGTTTGGATTAGTTTATCAGATGTTATGTCTGAACTTATTTGTTGTTGTTTTTTAGATATTGTTGTGATAAACTCCGAGTGGTTCCTGGGATACTTTGTCGGGAACACTATGTGGCTGATCGCCATTGGTTATTATCTCTACATCACCTTCTTAGGGTACAATGGTAAGCCCCATTCACATTTAAATACAATATGTTAAATTACTTTTGACTTTTTCTGTAAAAAAAAAATAAGAGCAGAATAGACACTTTCTGCATGTATGTCACCTTTTTGGCAAAACAGGATTTCAGATCAGGTTCATACAATAGCTGGTCACATGTTTGTTTTGTTTTTTTCAAATTTCCATTTCAGTGAGACTTTATAGATGTGTACTGTCAGCACAAAGTGTCTGCTGTCTGTAAACCGTCGTCTTGCGTTATCCTCACAGCTCTACCTTTCCTGAAGAACACGGTGGTGCTGCTCTACCCCTTCGCTCTGCTCGGCCTCATCTACGTCCTCTCTGTCTCTCTGGGCTGGAACTTCACTCAGGCTCTCTGCTGGTTTTACAAGTACCGAGTCCAGTAGAACCGGTTTGTCCCTGAGAGTGGACACTAGTTGCCTCCAGGCCCTCGTCGAAATCTGTTTTCAACTCACGCCTGTGTGACATCAAAACCATTTCCAGCTGCTGTCGGTCAACATCTGGTTGAGATGGACTCTGCCTCTGGTTGACTCTTAGTAAACTTGGACCTCTGGGTTAATTGAAGCTGACTGTTTCTTGACTCTCACTTGATTTTCTGTTTGGCTCTCCTGTTGAGCTGGAGCTCCAAAGTCAGTAAACAGCGATGTGTTTGGACTGGTTGCATAAACAAGGGGACAGATGAGACGCAGCTTTTATTGTTGTTCTTTTTGTATGATTTGTAAATAGTACTCTGGCAGGTTGTAATATATACACAGAGGTTTGTTTCTGAAGAGGATGCTTTGTTTCTTTGAGTTTTCATAAAAAAAGAAAATGAAAATCCTGCTTATTAAAGAGAAGGAAGGAAAGTAGAGGAATGTGGGAAGCATTTTTTCCTTTTTTCCTTTAAAGTGTACATTCCAAAGCACTTTCAATAAAGGGTTTTATTAACTTAAGTTACTGCAGTTTTACTTCCAGAGGAATAACTCAAAACCACGCTCTCCTGTTGCTGAATATTTGATGTCTCTGGGGAGGGTTTTTTTTTTTTTTTATACAATGCAAGATTTTGTAGTAACATGTTAAACCCTCACAGTGGCACTGTTGTTGCTGTAATGGGTGACTGGACGTGATCACATCGTGGTGCTGGAGTATCACAGTAATATTTGTGGTTTACATCATGATGCGGATGCAATGTGAGGAATCTATAGCTGAAAAAAAAAAAAATGGCATGATCACGTGTCTCCAGGTGCTCTGGTATGGCGACTCTAAATTGGCCATTAAAAAGAAAAACAAGTAATAATGACAATAAAAATTAATAATCATTTTGGAGTGGAATTGAATTTGTAAGATAAATAAGGTACAACAGTGACAAGTGAGTATTGATAATGATATGATAATGAGGAATATGAATATTATTTACAATGGAAAAAATACATTTATGTAAGATATTGTATAACTTGAGAGCTGCTCATTTTCTCATTTGTAAAAAAAAAAAAGAATGCAAGAGGAAACAGGCTCTTCACCAAACTGCATGAAAGCAGTTTAAGATTTAAGATTACTCTCCATCACAACCAGTGGGATTAGATCATGAAAAACAATGAGAAGAACAACTTTTAAACATGGTTGATCATTTAATCAGAGAAGCCATTTTTATTTATTTTGATGAACCAGATTCAGGCCTTTGGCTCGTTACCGCACCTTTCTACTTCAGAGAATTCATGAGCATTTGCTTGAACTTCTCCAAGTCGACTTTCTTAATGATGACCGCCTTCTGTTTCTTCTTCATCTGCTCAATGTAGTCCAGCACCATCATGCCTCGGGTGTATTTCCCCTCCAGCTCCACCGTCACAGCAACCTGGGGAAGGGCGACAGGAAGTGATTTGAGCACTCCAAACAGATTTTTTTTTTTTTTTTTTTTTTTTTTTAGAAAATAAAAAGAAAAACAATGGCAGCTCACCTCCTCACTCTCTGTTATAATCGTGTGGTCGATGGCTGCAGCTATGGCGTAGGTGTCACAGGAATTGAACCCTTTCCCCTCTGTGGTCTCCTTTTGATATTCCGCTGACCTCGCTTTCTGCAGAGACAAGATGTTTACATGAGGTGTGACTGAGGATCATTCGGCACTGAAAGCAGACTGAGCAGCTGCCACTACACTAACATTAGAGTAAGAACATTGTGTACACCTGTACTTGATCAAACACGCTTGGTGTTGCATCATGTAACCCCACAGCTTTGCTAGTGTCAGCACAGTATGATCATTTCCCTCTACATGTCTCTCTCACCGTCATTGAAAGGTTGGAAATCTTTTTAAAGAATTCAGCCTTCTCTGTGTTTTGGGCCAGCCACTGGTCATAGAAAGACTGAGGGGGAACAACAGAGAGTGATCAGTGTACAAATAAAGTCGATCAAATCATCATAAAATGGCATTTCTGCATGTTTTTCATGTTGCTTTAAACATAAATTACATAAAGATAGTTGAAATTTTATTGCTTTATCAATCCAGATATCTTTGGAATAAAAAAAAAAGTGTTAATCTTCAGATAATGCTGATAATCTTTAAAGCATTGAAGGGTTAATCTCTTGTCATGTTCTGTTTTCAGCCTCACCCACGGCAGGCTGTTCCTGCAGCTGAACTCCCAGGAGGCGATGTAGGTGGGGCAGGTGTAGCGGTCCAACACGATGTAGGCCGCCTCAGGGTCAGCCACGAAGTTAAACTCTCCACATGCAGTGGTGTTACCCCTGGCTACACACACACACACACACACACACACACACACACACACACACACACACACGGTTATTATTATTCTCAGTAATATAAGAGCAGAGATACAAATCAAGAATTAAAGATGTGGCAGATTTCGGCAGTTGACCTACAGTTAATGTTTCCCCCCATCAGGTAGAGTGCCTTCAGTTTCTTAGGGAAATTAGGGTCCAGTTGGACTGCAACAGCCAGGTTGGTGAGGGGGGCCGTGGCCACTAGAGTCACCTGCAGACAGCAGCAGCAGCAAAGCAACACATGCATCATCTTTATATTAAATATGCGTGTGAATTTGACATTTTCATGATTATGTTTCGGAATTGAAATGAATTAATTCATTTGCAAATAAAAGCCCTTGTGTTTGTCTCACCTCTCCAGGGTTTTGATTGACAATCTTGATCATGGCCTGCACAGCTTTTTTCTTCAGCAGCTCCAGGCCTGGAGCGTCCGGATCTGGGACATCTCCCAGTCCGTCCTTCCCATGGTAGTCTCCGGCATGTTGCTTACGGGCCAGTAGGGGCTTTGCACAGCCACGATACACTGGGATCTGTGGGGGTATGGCGAATGCGAAGGTCAAACTTTCACACCGCCCTAAATCTACTCAACAACACCCGTCAACACCCACGTACAAGGGCTCTGTTAGACTTACATCCAGCCTGTTGCAGACTTTCAGGACACGCAGTGTGTTCTTGATGACGTTCTCCAGGGGGGTGTTGCCGTGGCAACAGGTGATCCCCAGGATCTCCACGTCAGGGGCCGCAACGGCCACCATGATGGCCAGAGCATCATCCACCCCGGTGTCCATATCAATGATCAACTTCATCCTGTGTTAAACAGGAAGACACAGTTCACATGTGAAGACTGGTGCTTTCTAATAATACACACAATAATCTATCAGGTCTGCAGACAGTGCAACAGTGCAACAGTGTTCCTGATCGAGAGAGCTACCAGAGAGCTGTAGGCTAAGGAACAGGTTTTTCACATGCACAGTGTGGAATTTATTGCACACACACTAGTCTGCTTGTTTGTGAAATACGGGGATCATAAGGATAAGGATGAGGCATTTTTCAACACTTTTTCAACCTTTCAACCTTTTTCTAAAGGCTTAAGAGCTCAGTGCAGTGTCTGATTTTTAATGATATATACAGCATTAATAAAGTTAGCAGTTACAACTTGTTGCAGAGTGTTAGCTGAAGGCAAGGAAAAAATATTCCCCACCCATATTTTCTGGGTGTAGAGTTTAAATATGTGATATATCTTTGAGAAATTTTGCATGGAAACACTGCACCGTGGGTTTAAAATCTATTTTTAATCTATGCAACATGAGCATTTCTTATGATCAAGTCTCCACAAGACTGAAGCAATTTTCAAACATTAACAAGAGTTGCACATTTGAAACATTTTGACATGATGCTTGTAGATGATGGAAATAGGTTTCATGTTTTGAAAATGGTCTGAAATGAGAGTAAAATGTGAAACCCTCACCTGGAGAACAGATCCGGACGGGTGTTGACTGCTGGAGAGTGGAGAGGCGTCTGCTGACTGCCCTAACCTGAAAGTGCATCAGGCTGTTAAGCTTTCTGCAATTATAGGAAAGGGTGTGGTGTTCACTCTGGCAGTCAAACAGTTAATACCATATCTTCTCATAGATCCTCAGAAATAGCTGTCTTATAATAAAAAGAATTAAAAAACACAGCAGGTGCAGAATGTCATTCTCTTTAATAGTAAAAAAAAGTTTAAGATTAAACGGTACAAATGTTGTTGCTTTTATACACCGTTGAAGTTTGATTTGTTGACCATCAAAATACTAATATATTATGATATCTTTTATTTGGCATGAATACAGAGCATGAACAGAGCTTTTGTTGAAGCCAGCCTGAACTCCATGTCCTTGTTTTAAACCAGTCCATTCAATCAGCGGTGAACATCACTGCTCTCTTCTCATTCCCTCGAATCTCCTGCATCTTGAGAGTCGAGTCTGAGCTTGGCCAGGTTGGCCTTGACCCGAGCCTGGTCCACAGCGTCCAGCAGGTTTTTGGAGTCGAGCGCGAGAGTGTGAGCGGCCGCCAGCATCTGCCGCTGGCACTCCACCTTCAGCGACGTCACCGAGTTCTGCTGGGCCAGTCGCATCTTATTGATCAGCTCCCCCAAGTCCTTGTTCAGCAGTTTCTTGGTGCCCTCGATCTGAGACGGAGAGGAGACGATCACATGATACAGTTTGGATTTTCACCAAATAAAAAACTCCTGGATTTTAATAGCAGTTTAAACTGATTGTCATTCAGATTCTATTTCCACAGACCCCAGAAGCAATCACTATCATTTACAGTAAACTTGGTAAACTCTTTAATCAAGTGCTCTTCTGTGTAGAGAAAGAAATGAAACAGCTGATGCATGTATGTACCCCGTCACAAACATGAGGACAGACAGTGGTGGACGCAAAGAGAGAGGAAGTGAGGCCTCTACCTCTGTGGTGACCGAGCAGTGCAGAGAAGGCAGGATCTCATCAACACTTTGAATCAGGCTGCGGAGAGTGATGCCCACCGCCTGGAGGTGAAGGTGTTCGAGGGGAAATAAGAGATCAAATATGGCGGGTGATTATAAATATAGACAGTAACCCATTCTTGAATTGACTGTGAAGATGATCCACCGGTTGCTGATGGACCTACTTTGACAGCGGTGGGATACTCGGAGGCGGGCAGTGTGTTGACATCATTCTTCAGCTGGACCACCTGCTTCACCATCAGCATGACGCTGGTGTAAACCTGATCACCCGATCGGTCCAGCTCGGCTGTGGGGCAAGTCTACGACACAAAGCAACACGCCGCGTCACTGAACGGCTCCGTTTCAGCTCTAAAAGTTAACAGCTGTACAACACGTGACTCAGCTTTGAGGGTTCTTTCTTTACAGGAGAGGTTACCTGTGTGACTGAAGGAGGCATCGGAGGCTTCTCTGGAGGACCTGACACACAGACGGAATATATCTGTCAAAAGTGGCTTTGTGGCTTAAACATTATGAGGGTAACAGGTTAGAAAAATAATAGCTTGTTTGTGAAGGCCACCAGAATGAAATTAGGTCTCTGGACTCAAACTGGACTCACCATTTTCTGGGCTTTTTTCAGGAGGCTGCAAAGACAGAGAAGAATGTGTGAATTCATCAGTTTGAAAGATTTCAGTTACAAACTCCAGCTCCTGTTACAACTGTAAATTCACTTTCCATTTGTGGAGAAGATGAAAAAACTTTGTTTACTGTCTAACCGTTTTTACTCTTTACTGCCACCTTGTGGAGAAGAACCTAACTGCACAAATCTATAATGTCTCAGGTAGACTGGATTACCTTAAATAGCCCCATTCAGGTGATAATACTGGTTATTTATAGCAGAAAAATAAAGTAAACACGTGGCCAAACTACAGCTAAAAGACCATAGTACCATACTGAGCGTTTCCAGGTGTGACGGAATAAAAGAGGAATAAAAAGGACAGAGTACCTTGACTGGTGAATCCGGCCGCACGACGGGATCCTACACGAAAACACAAAAGCATCAGCGGCTGCGTTTGCACAATGTAGGAGACATCGTTTCATTAAGACATTATAGTCACGTTACTGCGGGATGTTTGAACCTGTACACACGCTGAGATTTCATAACATTTAGTCATACGCATGTCATGTGCTTGCCAAAGATGTTTCCCTGGTGATACATGTCACTCTGTCTCTTCTGTCATTTCTTCACAGGCTTAAGGCCACAAACTACTTCCCGTGTTGAGAAGTGAAAGGCATCTGACAGATGTGTGTGTGTGTGTGTGTGTTACCAGTTGTCTTTCTTCCTGCTCCAGCCACTGTTTATCCATCTGCATCTCTCTTCTTTGCCTTTGTAAAGTGTTCTCCACATGCGCTCTCTCTTTCTCCCACGCAGGCCTGGTATCCCTCTCTGGTGCCTACACACACACACACACACACACACACACACACACACACATCCTTTAAATATACCTCTTATTTTCACACTTGATATGATTCCTTTATATAACTTAGTGGTCCATAGTTGTCTCCTTTTTGTGGTTTCCCTCAAGTATTAAGAAAGTCACATGAGTTTGTGGCTCAGTCGAATCAGCAAGATTTTCACACAATGACCTAAAACGTCCTGCCACAGCCATCGCTGTGGAACATGACTCAGCAACAAACTTCCCTCTTGTGTTGGCAACCTTTTTATCATAAAGCAGACTATATTTATTTATTACTTACATCTAGTAAGTGCAATGCATGTACATGAGTGCACACTATAGTATATTTATGTCCGTATGCATGTCACTTAGTGTGTGTGTGTGTGTGTGTGTGTGTGTGTTTGGACACCTGTTTATGTGCAACCCGAGGAAGCGTGTTGCCTTGCACTCTGGATGGCTGGTGAGAGAGAGAGAAAGAGAGGGCAATAATTAAAAGGCTGTCAGCATTTAGCCATCTGTATTCATTATTGTTCATCTGGCTGCTCCCCTTAACTTTTTTTTTTTTTTAAATTGTAACCTGTAAATGAAGCACAAAAAGGCGGCAAGACAAACTGAACATGAACAGCTGAAAATAATTTATAGAGGTGACTGGTTTTCCAGTCACTAAATCTGCAGTCATTTTCACACTAAGCTGCAGTGGCTGCACAAGATTCAGAAGGCAACTGCAAAGACAAGACACCACAAGGCTAGCTCTTGTCTTTAACCCTCATAGGTGTAACTGTGCAGATTTTAAGTTTATCTGACCATAGGGGCAGTAACAGTTTCCAAGGTGCAGGTGGTACCTTGGGCGGAGGGTCTGTGTGGTTGGAGTTAAATGCTGGTGGGATGGCGCGCGACCTGTCCAACTTCACACCCCGCTCCTGCTCCAACTCCATCCTGTGGATCTCACTGTCAAATGCACAGACAATCAGTTACAAATCACCATTTAAAGCTCTCATTCACCACCCGGACTGACTACTCTGAGCTTGTTTTTTTTTCACTTTCAATTATCTGACCTGAAATCCCAGCATGCAAAGCTGAAACAGCATATTTCAATTTGTGTGAGCGTGCACCTGAGGGAGCAGACGAGCTCGCTGAAGCCGGGCCGTGCCTGCGGCTCGTAGGCCCAGCAGCGGGTGAGCAGGGAGTAGATGGTGGGCGGACAGAGCTGCGGTTTGGGGAGTCGAACTCCCATCTCCAGCTGGTTGATCACCTGCCCGTTCTCCAGCCAGAAGAACGGCTGCTGGGCCATGGAGAAGACCTCCCACACGCACACACCTGGTTGAAGGAGAGAAAGAGAAGGAAGAAAATATTAATAGCACAGTTCAATAGAATGCAATCCAGCACAACCCACAGCCTCTAGATTTATGATTCAACTCCTCTGACCCGGTCTCAGGGAAAAAAACACACACATCAATTTGAGTATCAGTTTCTACTCATGTTTAGACACAAGAAAAGATACAATCAAAAACTGCATGTAGAAGAGTTCGTTTTCTCACTGAACATCCAGACATCACTGGCTGTGGTGAAGCGTCTGAAGTTGATGGATTCGGGCGCCATCCATTTGATCGGTAATCGACTAATCGAGGCTGCACAGGGAAGAAAAATGGACATCTGTCTTTACTTTTTATAAAGGCTGAACTTCTATTTCTCCAAAACCGAAAGAATAGAGGAGCGAGAATACGCTTGAATAAGTTTCCTGTGTGTGTGTGGTGTGGTGTGGTGTGGTGTGTGTGTGTGTGTGTGTGTGTGTGTGTGTGTGTGTGTGTGTGTGTGTGTGTGTGTGTGTGTGTGTGTGTGGTGTTGGTGGTGTGGTGTGTGTGTACCTTTATAGTACTCTTGCTCGTCAATGTAGCGGGACAGGCCAAAGTCGCCGAGCTTGACGCATTCATGCGATGCCACCAACACATTTCTCACCGCTATATCTCTGCAGCATGCAGACAGAGAGGAAACCAGACAGGAAAAAGAGATGAGGCAAAGAGCTGAAGGAACAGTTCTCACAGAAACAAAACATTATGCATGTAATTAGGTCAAATATTAAGTAGATATCTGCAGAACCTTGACACTATATACCAAATAATAAGGTTAATTGCACCTGGTGAAAAAAAATGCTAAAACACATTTCAATTTCTGAGTGGAATCACTGCAAAGCAACAGTTTATTTTTACAGTGCTCGTGTCAAATGCACTCTCTTTAGCTAAACATCTTTCTTTTCAAGCTGTGTTACCTGTGCACCATGTTGAGGCCCTCCAGGTACGCCAAGGCTTTGCAGATTTGCAGGCAGTAAGTGATTAACGTTGCTCCGCTCAGGACGTACTGCTGCTCCACGAGATACTGCCCCAGCTGACAGGGAAACAAAAACATTTACTGTTTCATTTTCATCTTCGAGGTATTTGCGCTCATTTTCTTATCAGTTTTTCTAGTTTCAACAATTCAAGGATTTAAAGGGGAGGTGTGTTCCCAACGTACAAAATAAAAGTGAGCCGAGAAATATTCATTCAGTGTTCAAAATATTCAACATGATTCCTTTGGTGCAAACGTACCTCTCCAAGCTCATACAGCTCCATGACGATCCAGACCGGATCGACCTCGCT